CAATGTAATTTACATCGATTAGAAAAAAGCTCTGACACTTCCTTTACGTAAACAGTAAAAAAATATCAGACTAAAATATAAAATTGATTTGATGTTAAATTTCACGTAGCAACAACATTGCTATTGATACAAATTCGTATTATATAATTGTTATTGGGTTTCTATTTTGCAACATTTTTTCATTTTGTTTCTACTGCCAAGTTGGTACTTCGGTCATTGCTTAACGTTAAAAAAGCAGCCTGTTTTTGAATTTCGTTTGTGTTGTACGAAAGTCACGTGCAACGTGTTACTTCAATTTAAGATTCAAGTGTGATTGCATAATTTTCAACGTTGCGGGCAGGTTATGCAACACAGCTTCTCGTGCATTCTCGTCATCTATAGCGATTTTTGTAACAATTTACCAACTTTTTTCGATATTTACGGTACAGGCTACTCGCCGAGACGATAAATATCGCTCGTACTTCTACGCGAGGTACTGCAAATAAATATTAAGAGTAACGTACGATGCTAATGTTCCGAGTAAAAACCGCGTTGACTTTTATCGATCACGATCGTTGGCCGTGTCGTTCGAGTATCGTACTTTACAAGGCGTCTTGGTACGCCTTCTCTCTTCTGTTCTTCCTCATGATCGCGAACCTTCAATCAGTACGTGATGTTCGACTGATGCGCCGTGCACTTTGTATTTCCAAACAAATATTCAATTTTCGAAACAACAGATGGTACAAAAATAAGAAAACAAAACATACATAATAACGGCGAGAGATGTTCGTCTTCAAACGATTCATTTTAATTTCAAACGTGCGATCGCGAACCAGAAATGTTTTGCATCCTGTGGAAAGTTGATAAGTACTGAGTATTTAAGTATTGAGTATTTAAGTAGGTTGCATTTTGCACAGTCACCTGCTGCGTGCGTGATCGACAATATAATTATTCCAATTAAGACCTCGTATGGATAAAAATATTAGCGTATAATAGATGAAACAATCGAAGTTACATTGGATATAAACGGAAAGGGGTTAAAGGAGGCGCGTGCATTACACTTAGTCGTGTAAAAACTTGACTGTTGTGGATAAACCGGAGTAGCGAATGGACGACGTCACGCAAGCCGCGCTATACTTGAAGATTCTTCGTATTGCCGTAATATACCTCACGATTAACTTATCGTTAGATCGCTTCACGTTCTTACACATCCGAGTTGATTTCTTGGAAAGAAAACTCGCGAGAGGCTTTCTATCTTCTCGATCTAATAAACGCGACTTTTTTGAATTCTTTCGCCGATCGTGCTGCACCGGGTATTAACTAACAGCAGCAATCTAAAGTCTCTCTTTCAAGTCTCCAACGTACATATACATATACACACAATAAGAGAGAGATATACAATATTACATTTTATTTAAATACAAACATAATGTGTAATATTAAGTGATAACAATAATTATATTGAAATTGAAAAAATATAATTATATTGAAAAAAATGTTTTACTATAATTATCGGATAGTGGCATTGTGTATATATTTTGTGGTCGTATGCAGACATTCAGATTTGAATACGACACTTATCTATCACCACATAATATCTGCAAATCATCGCGTTGTTCAGACTCGAGTTTATTGTTTTCGTGTTATCATTTTTATCGTTCCCGAGACTGATGAGATTTTGTTTTTTCCCGTAAAAAAATCTGTCACTTGTTTTTGTTCACGTGTCCAGTAATGGATCCCATTAGGGCTGGCCATATAAGTAGGACAGCAGTACTTTCCATTTACGAGGACAATTGCCTGCGTATAGCGTTGGTTCGCTGACTCAATTGCAGAACTATGATTGTTTAACAGGAGGGTAGGCATTTGTAGATCCGAGTAGCTTATCGAAGATGAAGTTTTAATGACAAAAAAGTGTGATCGTTCGGAATGTCAAGAGATATCGAGCGACCGATATTTGTATTGATTTATCTGCACCTATGTTGTGCTTTCATATATCGTGTTTTCATAGTCATATATATAAAATATACAGGATAAGCGGACGAAAGAGAGAGAGAGAGAGAGAGAGAGAGAGAGAGAGAGAGAGAGAGA